TCACTGGGGCGGGGACGCGACCCGCAGTCGACTACGGGGGAGTCCAGCAACATAGCCACTACACTAACTGCTGGTCCCTGTGTTTGTTTTTTTTATAGACAGATTTTTGCTATAGGGCACATATGTTTGCCAGAAAGACAGAGAGAGGCAGAGAGACAAAGTGAAAAATCGCTGCCCCCCCCACCCCCAAGGGAAGATGGCCACACTGCAATCCTTTCTCCTCCATTCTTCTCTACAGATCTTGGGCACTTACGCCCGTGTGCCCAGCGTGAGTTTAAGCCACCGGGTTCAAAACGCGAACCGTAGTCGACTGCATGGGAGTCCAGCAATGTAACCATTATGCCATCTGCTGGTCCCAAGGTCTCCAGTCTTGAACCAGAAACCTCCTCTCCATGTGGCCCCTGGAAAATGAAAAATACATTTATAAGGCCAGCTCCATAGTATAGTGGTTAAAAGACCGCATCCAACATGGCCAACCATGGTTTGAATCCTGGCCCCGGTAGCTTTAAAAACACGAGTACATGTATGTGTGTGCCTAAAATCATGACAGGATAGAGAAATGGAAGAGAAGGACTTGCAGCAGGACCATAGGGGAGCTTTCTCCTTCTCCTCCTCCCTCTGTCTGGTGAGTGCACACACCCTCTAGCAATGATGTGTGTATATGTGTACACCTATTATACATACAGCTTTTATTTGCTGCAGGGCATGTATGCTTGCTAGAGAGAAAAAGTGACAAATTGCCCCCCGCCCCCAAGGGGGATAGCCAGGCTGCAATCCCTTCTCCATTTTCCTCTTGGGATCCCTGGCATGTATGCACGTGTACCTGGCATGCTTTGGAAGCTGCCAGGTCCAGGTCTCGAACTGTACAGGCGGCCATGTGGAATCCAGCCTCCTTAACCATCATGCCACTGGCTGGCACCATTTTTTTTTTTAAGACAGCTGGCCTAATTTGGCTCCCAAACCAGATTTTACTGACCTGCCTCCCCACCCCCCATTATACCATCCCAGGAAAACAAAGCATGACACAAAGGAGCAGCAGCAATAGGTTGATTCTTAACTGTCCAGCTTGTGAGGATTCAGGTCCTTGCAGCTTACCGACTCTTTCAAGGACGTGTTTGCCTGGATGAAGTTCTGGAGGGTTTGCATAGACAGTCTAGAACACAGGCCTCAGTATTATCGTGTGGGGGGGCACGGAATGCATTTTGGGCTCCTGACTTCAACACAAGCCTGAGACAGCACGTCCTGGGGGCAGAGGTGCCCTCAGAGACGGCAGCAGTCCTGGGTGACAACTGCTCCTGACGCCCTTCTCCCCCTTTAGGGAGAGAAGTCTTTCTTCCTCCAGCCAGGGGAGAGGCTGGAACGGGGCATCCAGGACGTGTACGTGCTGTCGGAGCAGCAGGGATTGCTGCTCAGGGCCCTGCAGCCCCTGGAGGAGGGGGAGGACGACAAGACCGTCACACGCCAGGCTGGGGACCGCTGGCTCATCCGTGGGCCCCTGGAGTACGTGCCGTCTGCCAAGGTGGAGGTGGTGGAAGAGCGCCAGGCCATCCCTCTGGACGAGAACGAGGGCATCTACGTGCAGGACGTCAAGACCGGAAAGGTAACAGCTGAGGGACGGGCGGGGGGCTGCCGTGGGCCATGGTCGGGGCTTCCTCACAGCACAGGGGGATGCTTCTGGGGAGAGGTACATGGTAGAGGTGGGGGGACCTTGTGGCATTTGACGAGCTGTCAGGTAGGTATAAGGGCATCTCACGGAGTATGAGTCTTAAAGATCCAATTGCAAATCTAAGAAACTCCAACTGAAAAGATGAGCGGTGTTACAGGACGGGACTCCGTCCAACTGCAGATCTGGCTCCGGCATAATAGCCTGACTGGAGTGTGGCCTACACACAATAAGAACCTCTTCCCCAAGGCCCATGTCCGTCCATCCGTCCTCCTTCCTTTCTTCCTTTCTTTCTAAGATTTATTTAATTTTATTTATTATTATTTTTTTAAAGATTTATTTTAAATTTTACTTATTATCATCATTCCTCAATTTTGACCAGAGAGACACAGACAGAGAAAGGGAGAGTGAGAAAGCAAACCACCAGGTTCGGGACTCAAACTGTGGCCAGCCATGTGGGACCCCAGCCCCTATTATTATTATTGTTTTTAATTTGTTATAGGGCATTTGTACTCACCAGAGACAGACAGAAAAAGAGATACAGAGAGAAAGAGAGAAAAAGTGAGAAAGCAAGCCACCAGGTCTAGGACGCAAACTGTGGTTGGCCATGTGGGAGTCCAGCCCCCCACCACCTGTTGGCCCCTTGGTGGAATCTTTTCTTTTCTTTCTTTTTTTTCTTTCTTTTTTCTTTCTTTTTTTTTTTTTTTTTGAGAGGTTTTTGCTATAGGGTGCGTGCGCTTGTTAGAGAGAGACGGAGATAGAAAGCAAGAAATCACCCCCCAGAGGGGATGGCCATGCCACAATCCCTTCTCCTCCATTCTCCTCTTGGGATCTTGGGCACACACGCACACGCGCCCAGCGTGAGTTTAAGCCACCGGGTCTGGAACACAAGCCGCGGTCGACTACATGGGAATCCAGCAACATAGCCATTACGCTAACTGCTGGTCCCGGTGGAATCTTTTCTTTTTGCTATTTCATTGAAAACCTTGACCTCCAACCTCTTTCTCTAAGAACCTAACCTAGAAGCACAACTCAGAATTCTAAGAGGAATTAGTGTACATAGACTACCCACTTCCTAGGATCCCATCCAGCCCCTTGATGCCCTCCAAGCATGGAGGAAGATTCTAGAAATAATAACATTGGGCCCTTACTATATGCCAAGTGCTGTTCTGCAAATGAGACATGGGAAACGTCATTCATTCCCCAGCTCTATGAGGTAGCCTCTAGCAGGACCATTTTTCAGATGAGGAAACTGACACCCAGTGGATGAAACAGCTTGCCGGAGTAACAGCGTGCAGTTAACTAGCCTGAGACTGAACCTGGCCTCGCCGCAGAGACCATGTTTAGCCACAATGCTATACCAACCCTGAGCCGCCTCTGCTTCAGAGCACTGGTTGGGTCTTCCCCCCCTCCCTCACTGGTGACATCCCTACTTGCCTTCGTCTTCCAGGTGCGTGCTGTGATTGGAAGCACCTACATGCTGACCCAGGACGAAGTCCTGTGGGAGAAAGAGCTGCCTCCTGGTGTGGAGGAGCTGCTGAGCAAGGGGCAGGACCCTCTGGCCGACAGGGGTGAGAGGGACATAGGCAAGGCCTTTCAGCCTGCCACTCCCAGGAACAAGACCCGTGTAGTCAGCTACCGTGTCCCTCACAATGCCGCCGTGCAGGTTTATGACTACAGAGAGAAGAAAGCTCGGTGAGGGGCTGGCCCCGGGTGGCGTGGGGGTGTGGCCCTCCACATGTCTGACTCCCTCTCTCTCTGCAGCGTGGTCTTTGGGCCTGAGCTGGTGTCACTGGGTCCTGAGGAGCAATTCACTGTGTTATCCCTGTCGGCTGGGCGGCCCAAGCGTCCCCACGCCCGCCGTGCACTCTGCCTGCTGCTCGGGCCTGACTTCTTTACAGACGTCATCACCATCGAGACAGCAGATCACGCCAGGCTGCAGCTGCAGCTCGCCTACAACTGGTAAGGGATGGGGTGGCTGGTGAGGGTTCTGTTGGGTACAGCCCTGGGAGCCCTGAGGAAGACATGCCCGTGCAGTGCTGGGCTCCTCAGGACAGAACACTCACTCAGGGTCATGGTCAAGTGAGAACCTGGGAGTTCACGCAAATCCAGGGAAGATGCCAGCTCACCTCCTAGGACCAGGACTCTGGATGGGAGCAGGACGCTTCCCCAGTGAAATGCCAGGATGTGTTTGGACAAATGTTTAGCGGCAAGGTTACTGAAGGTCAATGGGCAGAGCCAGTAGATGGCATGGTGGCTAAGGTGCTAGATCCCACATAGCTGACTCTGCGGTTCAAGTCCCAGACCTGGTGCCTTAAACATGTCAGGTGTGTGCATGTATGCACCAAATCCTGAGAAGAGATTGCGGCCTGACCAACTCCCCGGAGGATGATTTCTCACTTTCCCTCTCTCTGGCAAGTGCTTGTGCCTGATAGCAACCTGAAAAAAGAGAGGGGGGGGGGGCAGCAGATGGGGTAATGATTACATTGCTGCACTCCCACATAGTCACTGTGGTTTGAGTCCCGGACCCAACGGCTTAAAACTCGCCCTGGGCATGTGCGAATGGGTGCCCAAAATCCTGAGAAGAGAATGGAGGAGAAGGGATTGTGGCATGGCCATCCCCCTGGGGGGGTGATTCCTTGCTTTCTGTCTCTCCAGCGAGTGTACTTCCCCATAGCAAAAAACCTCCCAGATAAAATTAAATTTAAATTTAAAAAGGACAAAAGTCGGTGTGGGGCGGAGCAGGATGATGGTGTAGTGGTAATGCGATCTCTGCAAGGCTGACCCTCGTGGGAGGGCCCCAGGTCCGGAGACCTCCCTGCCCACACCAGGCATGTGTCTACACACGGTCCAGGGCTGGCTGAGGCTGGGAACGGATCATGACATGAGGACCCTTTTTCCTTTGGGGGTGGGGGAGTAGGGCAGGGGAGGGCTCTCTCTTTCTTATGAAATAAATAAACAAACAAACTTAAAAAAAAAAAGTCACTCTTATGAAATAAAAGAAGAAAAGGTCAGTGGGCCCAGCCGTGGGTGGGCAGTGTGAATGGGTGTGAGGTGCCCGCCGTGGAGCCACGTGCTCAGGGCTATGTACCAGCCCTGCCGGCTGCCAGCTGCAGCCCTGGGCAAGGACCGTGGCACTTCCCTCAGTTTCCCACGAGCAAGATGAGTATGACAACATCAGCCCCCTCATGGGGCTGCTGCAAGGGTGCAGCGAGAACAGCAGTGCCCTGTGTCTGGGAGAGCACAGACAGCCCGATTAGAATTAGGCGAGATAAGCCATATGCAGGAAAAGTGCTTGACAACTCCCAAGCACCCGGTCCTTACCTCTTGACTGGGCGTCGCCAGTACCATGACAGAGGCAGATGGGGCTGCCATTTTCCGGGGGACCATAGTGTGACGGGGCACAGACCCAGAGTCAGACTGCCTAGGTTCAGCTTTCTGGCTGGCTACATGCTGTGTAACCTTGGGCCAGTGACTTAACCTCTCTGGACCTCTATTTGCTCATTCAAAAAATGGAGTAGGAACCAGAGGTGGCATGGTGGTTGAGGCACTGGACTTCACGTGGCTGACATGGTTCGAGTCCCGGACTTGGCGGCTTACTTTCTCACTTTCCCTCTTTTTCTCTCTGGGGAGCACATGTATCCTTCAATAAATTTAAAAATAATAAGTAAAACTAAATAATTCTTTTTTTTTTTTTTTTTGGAGAGATTTTCACTGTAGGGCGCGTACGCTCGCCAGACAGACAGAGAGAGACATAGAGACAGAAAGCGAGAAATCACCCCCCAGGGGGGATGGTCACGCCGCAATCCCTTCTCCTCCATTCTCCTCTCGGGATCTTGGGCACGCACGCACACGCGCCCGGCGTGAGTTTTAAGCCACCGGGTCCGGGACACAAACCACGGTCGACTACGTGGGAGTCCAGCGACATAGCCATTACGCTAACTGCTGGTTCCTTTCTTTCTTAAAAAATGAGATAACATTCATCCCCACTTCCTATGGTGGCTGAGAGGATTAAAAGGGAACGTGAGTAAAGTTTTTTAGGACTTTACCAGGTACAAATTAGCATTTTTCTCTCTTAAAGGACCCTACCCACAGAGGATGGGTGTTGAAATCTGTCTGAGAGTCAGTGTTTCTTGGAGAAAACAACTTCTCTATCTTGGGCCTCTGTGTTCACAGGCACTTTGAGCTGAAGGACCGGAAGGACCCCCAAGAGACAGCCAAGCTCTTCTCCGTGCCTGACTTTGTGGGTGACGCCTGCAAGGCCATCGCCTCCCGGGTCCGGGGGGCCGTGGCCTCAGTCAGCTTCGATGACTTCCACAAGAACTCGGCTCGCATCATTCGCACGGCTGTCTTTGGCTTTGAGACTTCAGAAACCAGGGGCCCCGACGGCCTGGCCCTGCCTCGGCCCCGGGACCAGGCCATGTTCCCCCAGAACGGGCTGGTGGTCAGCAGCGTGGACGTGCAGTCGGTGGAGCCAGTGGACCAGAGGACCCGGGATGCTCTGCAGCGCAGCGTGCAGCTGGCCATCGAGATCACCACTAACTCCCAGGAGGCGGCCGCCAAGTGAGTGGGGCTCAGCCGCTGCACTGCCCACCCAGCCGACCTCTATGGGTCCCCATCTTGACCACCACCAGCCCCTGACAACACACCCGCTGCCGTCCCTGCCCCAGGGGCCTGTGCTCTACCAAGCAGATAGAATGATCCCGTGAGGTGTGACTCGGATGCCCCTGCTCCTGCAGCTTCCCACTTTGCTTGTGACAAAACCAGGACTCCTTGCTGTGGCCTTCCATGGACCCTGGGGTCCTGCCCGGCCTCCGCCTACCCGCGTTCTAGCTTCCTCCACTAGACTGACATGCTCCGGCATCCCCCCTCCCCTGCCCGTTCCTCCTCAAGGCCTCCACACTGGGTTTTCCTGCTACCCGAGGGTTCCTAGAAGGCTCCTCTGGCCTTCAGCGGGCCACTGCCCTGGAGAGCCCATTTCTTCCTCCCACACTTGCATACCACCCCCTTCGCCCAGTCGCCCATTTTACTACCTTCGAGAGCTCGTCGCTATCTGTAGTCACCCTTGCTTCCTCTTCCCTTCCCCGTGGAGGGTACGTGGGTAAAGGCAGGGCCCTCACTCCCGGCATGCTGGGCCCAGCACCAGGCCTGCCTTGTATCACACACACTGTTCTCGGTCGATCTGTGTGTTCAGTGCATGCCAGGCGCAGGCCTGGGTGCCCAGGAGATGTGTGCACCCTGCCCTTGGTGTTCTGGTTCCAGCTCTGGCCCCATGCTGGTCTCTTACCCACACCCCCCTGTCCTCACCTAGGCATGAGGCTCAGAGACTAGAGCAAGAAGCCCGTGGCCGACTGGAGAGGCAGAAGATCTTGGACCAATCAGAGGCTGAAAAGGCTCGCAGGGAGCTCCTGGAGCTGGAGGCTCTGAGGTGGGTCGAGAACTGGAGGAGGAAAGGCTGGCAAGGGCCGAGTGTCTGCCAAAACAGCTGTGTGTGAGGGAGGGGTGGGGGCAAAGCGCTGCTGGGCACAGGTCAGGCCGTGCGAAGGCAGGGTTTTCTCCTGGGCCTCACCTGCCTCTGCCTCCCCTCAGCACGGCCGTGGAGAGCACTGGGACTGCCAAGGCAGAGGCGGAGTCCCGGGCAGAGGCGGCGCGGATTGAGGGGGAAGGCTCCGTGCTGCAGGCCAAGCTGAAAGCCCAGGCCCTGGCCATTGAGACGGTGAGTCGGGGAGTGAGAGCGTGGCCTTGGGGCTGAGGATGCCTGTTCATTGCAGTCCCTGAAGTCCGGTGTGACACCACGGGCCTCACATAACGCTCTGACCAGGCATCTGTGGTTTACCAGAACTTTCCCTGTAGCAGCCCATTTACCAGGACCCTTGCAGGTAAGGTTATTGCACCCATCTTACAGACGAGTGCTCGAGCGCTAGCCACGCGACTGCCAGGTATTACATGTGCTTTACATGTCTGAATTTCTTTAATGCTGGAAATCTAGTCAAGGTGGGTGTCCTCTCCACCCAGGTAAGGGACGAGGTGCAGCTTAGGGAGCCCCATGGGCCACTAGCTAAGCTGTGGTGTCACAGGATTCACACCCGACAGATACAAGTTCAGAACTCCACCACCTCTGCCTCAGTTCCCTCGGGTGCGTCCATTAGGCTGATTCACTGGACAATTCCCAGGGGCCCTGAGCGCTAAAGAAGGCTGGGTTTTCCCCTTCCAGGAGGCTGAGCTCCAGCGGGTCCAGAAAGTCCGAGAGCTAGAGCTGGTCTATGCCCGGGCCCAGCTGGAGCTGGAGGTGAGCAAGGCCCAGCAGTTGGCTGAGGTGGAGGCAAAGAAGTTCAAGCAGATGACAGAGGCCCTGGGCCCCAGCACCATCAGGGACCTGGCCGTGGCTGGGCCAGAGATGCAGGTGAGAGTGGGGAACGGCAGTGTGTGTGTGTGTCTTAAGACCAGCTTTGAAACCAAGAAGGCAGAGACATCTAGAAAGTTGTCAGGACCGGGGGGTGGGGGTGGTGAGCAGACTGTCACTATGTCGTTTGAGCATAGTGTCACATTGCATCAATACCAGGCAGGAAGCTGGAGCTCCTGGGAGAGACCGGAAACATGGGACGTGGGTCTGTGACAAGTGGTTCAAGGAGGTCAGGGTGATCAGATGAAGAGGGAGGTGGCGCTTTCAGATGAGTTGGTTTCAGGAGGGTCTCTCTGAAGCTTGGCTCCCTAGAGAAGCAAGGAAGAGATGAGAAGTGACCAGACTCTGACACCATCTCCTCCTGTCGTCCCCCCTCCTCGCTCCCTCCAGGTGAGACTGCTGCAGTCCCTGGGCCTGAAATCAACCCTCATCACCGATGGCTCCACTCCCATCAACCTCTTCAACACAGCCCTGGGTCTGCTGGGGCTGGGGGCTGAGCCTCAGCCCCAAGCCAGAAAGACGGCCGGTGGGCCCAGCGCCCAGGAGGGCCTGCTTCTCCAGGGCCCCTCTGCCCCTCAAGCTCCTGGAGGCAACCACATCGTGCCTTAGCTCTGCTGTGTGACAACGGACAAATAAACGCGACGTTTCTGGGCATTTCAACCTTTTTCTGTTGTCTCGAGTCGGGGTCACCAGGGAGCTTAATGGTAGCAGATTGGGACCCCTGAAATCTCGAGATTGTTACTAGAGACTACCCTCATCTGTAGAGTGGAGAGGAAACTGAGGCAGGATGAAGAGTGACCCAGTGTCACGCTGATAGGAATGTGACCCCAAAGCCTTATGGGCCAAGCTGTTCTTTTGGCAGTCAGCTTTCTTTTTATTTCTTTCCCTTTTTTTTTTTTTTTTTAACTTGCCAAAGAGTATGTGCATTCACTGGGGAGAGGCAGAGAGAGCGGGAAGGTGAGAAAGCACCCCCATGGAGCATGGTCTCACGTCTCTCTTCCATCTCTTCGTCCTTTTGCGATTCGGGGCATACATGTACATGGGCCCTGTGTGTCTTTTATTTTTTTGCCTTATTTTTATTGTTTTGCTATTGGCACGTGAGCACATCAGAGAGAGACATGGTAAGGGAGATGGTGAGAAATCTCCCCCTATGGCCATGCCATAGTCCTTTCTCCAGTTTCAGGATCTGGGGGCACAAATCCATGCACATGCAGCTGGTGTGATTTTCAAGTCATTAGGTCCAGGACTCGAACCACAAAGCTGGCCACGTCTGATTCAGCACCTCAACCCCCACAGCACCTCCTGTGCCTTTTAAGCCACCAGGGTTTTGGGCTTGAACCATACAGTCGGCTAAGTAGGGTTCAGCTGCTTCAACCACCCAGCCACCAACTGGCCCTATTTATTTCTTTAATGAGCACATGAGGGACCAGCAGTTGGCACAATGGCTATGTCGCTGGACTCCCATGTAGTCGGCCGCAGTTTGAGTCCCAGACCCGGTGGCTTAAACTCACACTGGGCGCTTGTGCATGCATGCCCAAGATCCCGAGAGGAGGATGGAGGAGAAGGGATTGTAGTGTGGCCATCCTCCCCAGGGGATGATTTCTCGCTTTCTGTCTCTGTCTTCTGGCGAGTGCGTGCACCCTATAGCATAAAAAAACCTTTCCAAATAAATAAATAAATATATGAGCATGCAAGAGGGAGAGAGAGAACTTTCAACAAGATCATGATGCCCCAGTCCATCCCATCTCAGTCAGCCCCAGAACATGGATACTCGCATGCTTGGTGTAGCTGAGGAGGCTTCTGGATGTGAACCCAGAACTGTCCATGTGGGTCAGCCTTGCAGATGGTTGCATTTTACCTCTGTCAGCTCTCCAGCACCTGCAGTCAGCTTTCCTACCCCAGGCGGAGGAAATGATGGCACAGGTGGGAGACTGGGGTCCACCTGGCCAGCCCCTCAGGATGGCTCCTGCACCATCAACCTCTCGCTGCCAGGTCCTCTAGGAACCCTCACTGCCAGGCAGTTGTGGGGTCTGTAGATCCTTTCCAGCTTCCCACTGGGGCAGCTCCCTTTGGCTCCACCTGCTGGTCACACAGCAGCCAACAGCAGGTGTGTGGAGCCTGCCCCTTGCACCTGCGCACTTGTCCCTTCTCGGGTATGTCGGGCTGGAAAGGAGGACCTTGCCCATGGGCAGTAGGAACTGGAATGCCCCTTGGGCTTCTTTCAGATCTGGGCTTTTTGAGAGTGTCAAGGGACAAGTGTCCTTTCCCCACCCTCTCCCACAGCCAGTAAGGGGTCCTTATTTGGGAGAAGGATCAGGATGCAACCATCTGGGCATATCCGTGGAGGCTCCAAGGTACACCAGCCCTTCAGGCCAGATGGAGCTCTAAGTGCCAAGCTTGCCTAGTCTCTGCCAGGAGAATCAAAAGGTCCTAGGAGTGGAGAGAGCAGCGTGGGTTTAGTTGCTGTGTGGCTAGAGAAGAGAACTCAGTCTCTCTGATCTCTCTTCCAATCTGTGAAGTGGGCCAGCAAGTCCCCTGCTAAGCAGGGCTGCTACAAAGTACAGATGTAGGGAGTTGGCATGTGGCATGGTGGTTAAGGGTGCTGGGCTCCCACATGGCTGACTGTGATTTGAGTCCCGGACCTGGCAGCTTTCTTTCTCTCTTTACCTCTCTCTCTCTCATTCTGTCCCTCTCTGCTCAAATTTAAATAAATAAAGTTAAATAAAATAATAAAAAAAAGTACAAATGTAATGATGACCCTTTATTTTAGGGTTATTCCTTCCCCCCTTCTGGGGCCTGATCCCATGAGCCTTATTTCCAAATCGAGCTGCTTTTTAAAAAATTAAAAAGAATTACTGTATTAGTATTATTTTAAAATTTACTATAAGGCTTGTGCACTTACCAAAGAGAGAAAGTGAGAAAACAAGTCACCAGATCTGGGGCTCAAACCATAGTCAGCCACGTGAGACTCCAGCGCCCTAACCACCATGCCACCTGCTCACTCAGTTGAGCTGCATTTGTGTGGCAGTGGCTCCATTCCAGTATGAGCTCAGTAAAGCCAGAGACTGCATTTATTTATTTATTTTGCATTTTGCTTGCCACAGAGAGAGAGAGAGAGAGGGAGGGAGAGTGAGAAATCACCGCCCCCTAGAAGGACAACTGTGCCACAATCCCTTCTCCTTCATTCTTCTATCAGGATTTTGGGCACACATACACATGCGCTTGGCACGTTTTCCAAGCTACCGGGTCTAGGACTCAAACCACATAGTCGGCCTTGTGGGATCCAGGCACCTTAACTTCCATGCCACTGCCTGGCCCACCAGCACTCAGGGGTGCTGGCTCAGTGTTTATGGACTAGGCAAGTGAGTCAGCAGCCCTCCCCCCAATTTTCTACATCTTCCCTCAAGAGAGGTACTTAGGGATCAAATAGCACAAGGGCAAAATGCACCCGACTTCAAGACTGGCCTGCGTGGGAAGGTTGTGTGTTCATATCAAAGACCTCCCCGAGGCATGTGCACCCATGAGCGGGGACTGGCTGAGGCTGGATCGTAGCATCAAGACCCTGCCGTCTCTTTGTCTCTCTCACTTAGGGAAGAAATAAATAAACTTTAAAAGAGACAGAGGTTGAGACCAGCAGTTGGCATAATGGCTATGTTGCTGGACTCCTGTGTAGTCGACAGCAGTTCAAGTCCTGGACCCAGTGACTTAAATTCATGCCGGGCACGTGTGCATGTGTGCCCAAGATCCCGAGAGGAGAATGGAGGAGAAGGATTGCAGGAGAAGGGATTGCCCCTGGGGGATGAGTTCTCGCTTTCTGTCTCTCTGTCTCTGTCTTTCTGGTGAGTGCATGTGCCCTATAGCAAAAACTTCTCAAAAAAAAAAAAAAAAAGACAGAGGTTATTAAAGCTCTATACCCAGTACCTGGCATGTTAGCAAGTGCTACTGTGTTGTGCTGTTTATTACCACGGGCCTCCAGGGGCAGGTGATGGAAGAAGCAAGGCTGTCTGTCCATGGAGGGCACATTCCTTTTTGTCTCAGCCACCTGTTCATACGGCCGTCCCTTGGTTACTTGCCTTTTTTTTTTTTAAAGAATTATTCCATTTAACCTTATTTATTATTATTATCATTATTATTTTCCAGTTTGATCAGAGAGAGAGAGAGGAAGTGAGAAAGCAAGCCACCAGGTCTGAGACTTGAACCATGGTTGGCCATGTGGGAGTCCAGCACCTTTAACCACCATACCACTTGCCGGCCCCAGTGACTTGCCTTTACTAGTAGCCATGCCACCACCTCTGAACCTCAGCTCCCGCTCTCTCAGCTTCACACTTGTCTTCTACCAACCAAGGGCGGATGGACGGCCACGCCTCCAGTTCAGGGCTTCACGACATTGACTCCAACTACTTTTTCAACACCCATAGCCCCCTACTACTTTCATTTGTCCTGTCAGCTTAGATTCTGTGATGTGTCCATGTAAACTGCTCCCTCGAAACCTCCCTTAACACCCTCATCCTCTCCTCCCTGCCCTCATCCTCTCCTCCCCGTGATACTTAGTGGGAAAAAACCCACCCCCTCCTAAGCTCCCTCCCTCCCTCTCTGCACTGCCTTGGCCAGGGCAGTTGGTGGAGGAGGAACAGCCCAGAGCTGGCTGATCTCATTTTAAATGGAGGGCAGCCAGTTTTAAAGGAAGCCTAACTCCTGTCTAGGAGATTTTGTGTGAGATTCCTCTTCAAAAGAAACCGTTCACAGCTCCTCTCTTCTTGAGCTCTTCCTCCCTGCCTAATTTCTCTCGCCTCTTTGAGAAAATAGAAGCAAACTGTGCAGGAAGACTCCCCCGTTCCTGCAGCAATAACCTATGGTTGGCAACTGGCCTCTGTGCTCCCACCGAGGGCTCCTCCCCCTGGGCTCTGGCTCACACCACTGGAGTTCTGGAGAGCTGCCCTCCTACACGCATCACATTTCCTGCATCATCGCCTTCTCCCTCTCTCCTGGACTGCTGTCATCAGTACACAAACTGCTCTCTTTCTCCCTTAGAAAACAAACAAGGCCCAGTTCCAGTGGCATGGGCGGCGGTGTGCTGCTCCCTGGTGCTGGAAGCCATGTGGGCAGCCACAGGTTCGAATCCTGAGCCAGCCTCAAACACACTGGTACACATGTGATGAGACACCATTGAGGGGGTCTCTTTTGCACATGCATGTCAGCAGAAGCACGAGCTCTCTCTCATTAAAGAAGTAAAACAAATAAATCTTCAATAAATAAACAAACAAACTCTCCCTTAACTCTCCATTTCCCCTCTGACTCTCAACTCTCCTGTCTTTTTCCTTCACAAATTTCTTCAGCGTTCTCTGTGGTCAGAGTTTCCACTCCTCACTCCTGCACTATTCCTTCAAACCACTCCAATTAGCTTCTGATCCGGCCTTTACTGTGTGGAAACCGCTCTGATGGCCGTTACCAGGGACATTCTGCTGCTGAAGCCAGTAGTTAGGCTCTGCCCTCATCCAGCCTCTCCCATCTCGGGCCATCCCTCCTCCCACACCATGGGCTCCCATCATCACCGACTCTAATTTTTTTCTGGTTGCTCCTCTCAGTTGCCCTAGTCAGCTCCACCTTTCCCTCTCAGTCTCTAAACTGTGGGTTTCCCTTGGCCTTTTCCTCTTTACCTA